TTTGCTTCTGCTTGAGTGACCCATTAGGTTGTCGGAGAAGTCTTTGACCATTTGTCGATTTTTTTTCTAATTACTTTTCTTCCTTAGCACAGGGAGCAATTTGGGAATGTATGCCCCACTACAATTGCCAACATACAGGGGTGGCCAAAAAAAGAGACACTTGACTCCACATTTCAGACAGCATTAATCACACTTTGCTAAAATCAAATCGACTGCCCCCAACTCAGTATTGAAGAGCACATTCTAATCTATCTAAACCTTACATGACAGCCTTCTACACCGACGACATCAGAAGATTTTCCCACGGAAACATGGTTCACGGTACGAGCTCAACGAGGTCGTCGAGGTACCATAGACCATTACGACGTCCCTGAAACGCTGGTCAAAAGCGGTTTTGCATAGTCACAGCTAATGTCTCTGGGAAGCTATTCACCAGTTAATCATTGAAGAAATTATGTAGCAGCTTCAGGCCGGAGCGATTACGGTAAGCCTCGTTGAGCTCGACGGTGGCGGCAGATGACGTCATATTCTGAAGACGGTGGGGCAGTGAAGGAGGGCCTGCTTCTGCTTACGGGGGAACACCTAAGGAATATTTGCCGTAAAACTTTCATTAACATCGGCACCCTGTGCGACGAAAAGTTCGATGATGTGCGCCATGGGCAAAGTGTCTCTTTTTTTTGGCCACCCCTGTATAGCTTTTAAGCAGGTAACACGTGGATGGCATTTGTCCGAAATACTGAGCTTTCAAAGCAAAACCTTAAAGAAGTCCTCTTCGAGTAGGTTCGGATCATTGAGCTCTCCCTCTTTTGTTTGATTTGACAGCAATGGAAGCAGATGGTGGTCTGTTAGTGCCGGGTCTGCTGAACGCAACAGGTGGGACAGAACGTCCCATACTTGGAGACTTTTGCTGAACCTTCTTCCAAATTCGTTGACAAGCGTTGCCTGGGTAAAGTAAACTTTTCCATGGTTTTAAAGCATAGTGCCGGCGAACCCATCCATTTGCCCATATTATGGTTCAACAATAGCAGTGCAGTTCTTTGGTAGGAGCTGTCAGTGAACGAATCGCTTGGAGCTTCACCAATCCTGAAAGTTACCTGGTTAACGCTATTGTGTTCTAAAAACCCTTTAAAAGCTGCGTCAGTTCCTGTGTGCATTGCTCCAGAGACTGTTTCAAACAGCTCCAGAAGACACTCGTCATTCAGAGTAACAAGCCAAAAGAATTTGTGCATTTTTCTCGAGTTTCTGGACATCGGCAACCAAATGTTTACCATGTCGTGAAAGACACTCTGGGTTCCATCGCAAGACGTGAGCTCTTGCCGCATCGCTTCCATTGACGCGTTTTCTGGGTTTTAGAAAGAGGAGCAGCCAAATATGCTTTCAGTCAAAGACGATTTTCTCAGCCATAATCGCTTGAAAACCACGACAGAAATGCTCTGAAGAGATCATTGACTAGGGTTACATACGTTTTACAATAAATGTTCAAAAATTATCCCTGAAGATTTTACAACATGCAGATCGAAATGGCCAAAGACTTTTCCGACAACCTAATACTAGTACCTGTGCTGTTCTGTATGACAACGTAGGCTAGCCGACTTCATCAGCTCAAGGAAGAGGTCAGATGTCCTTGCAAGGCTCTATGCTAATCTTTGGAGTCCATTATGCAGTTTCATGGAAGCGAAATTTTGACACAACAATCACAAAAACACCCACACCTTTCACATCTCCTTAACTAAAATTGCAAGCGCTGAAGTGAATCGGCCACAGTCACTTCAAAAGTGTTTATATCCGCAGGATCTGTTTGTTTAAACCAGTTTTGTCCAAAAAATACCAACTTTACTGGAATTATCTTGCTGTGTGGTGCGATTGTGGCGCAGGCTCAACTTTGTTCAATCTCTCTCTAAGTTCAACTTTACGGGTTGAAGTTGTGCTTCCTCGTAATGGCCAGTGAGCCTTCGGACCATCTTTGATCGCTTTCCTGACAATGTGCTGCACCTTTTCACCCACCACCTTTCTAAGATAGAAACATTTTACGCGTGACGCCGATTTCAAGATACTATATGGGTCAGCCTCCCTAACTTTTCTCTAATCATTTATAGAAAACTTGTGTGTATGTACGGGACATTTGTAATATCTGGTAGCATGCGAGCTCTTTATTTACCTTTGAATGCAGCAAAGGAATTTCCGAACTGCTTTGGAAAGACTCACGAACCGTGCCAAGCACCATGAAATGCATAAACTTTACCTTTTCTTCAAAAGACGAGTACGAAACATTCCATAAATTTAGCTATGGGTGTGTTTTCACAAATATTCAGTTTCACAGGCACATTGGTTGTTTGTGATAGTGTAGTGTTTGAACACTACATTATCATAAACATTATTATTAACGCTATTGTTCATCTTATGTTATAAAACGGTGCAAAAATCGAAAAATAATTATGAAAAAATTAAAAGAAAGCTGCTCCCACCAAAATTGCGATACAGGGGTTATTCATAGTGAGGAATCAGCTGGTGATAAAGGAAAATTTCCAGTCCGTTGTTTTTTTTTCGGAAATGCTTATAATTATAAAAAACGGTATATATACAGGGAGGGCCAAAAAAAAAGACATTTTGCCCATGTCGCACTTCGGCCTTTTTTCTTCGCAGAGATTGCCGTCGTTGACGGAAGTTCCTCAGCAAAGTATTCCCTAAATGTCCCTCTATAAGTACACGCAGGCCCTCCTTCACTACCCTCACCGTCTTCAGAATATGACGTCATCTGTCACCGTCGTCGAGCTCAGGGAGGCCTACAGTAACTGCTTCAGCCTGAAGCTCTTACATAATTTCTTGGATCGATTCAACGTGGATAGTTTCCTAGGGACATTAGCTCTAACTATGCAAACCCCCTCGGAACCAGGGTCAACCCTATGTTGCTACAAGTAGCAACGGGGGGGGGGTCGTATTTTGATGAGTTTGTAGAGGGGGGTCGTACTTGCTTCGGTTGTAAGAAGTTGCATGTGATGAGTGGGGAGCGGCGCGGGAGAAAATTTGCCGTTTCAGTATCCCCCCCCCTAGAAAAGGAAGTAGTGGGAGTGAGGTAAGAATGGTGAAAAAATGGATTGAATTGGCGGAATGTTTGGAGATATTGTACGTTCTAAGGCGAATATAATACCCTCTCCGCTCCACGGCGGCTTTTTTGGAGGAAAAAAGTGGGCGGGGTTTTGATGGAAGATGGAGATGGTGGAGGTAGGGAAAAGTGGAGGTAGGGAAAAGGGGGTCGTGTCAAATCACCTTGGGGGAGGGGGGGGGTCGTAAAAATTTTTCGAAAAGTAGCAACAATAGGACCGACCCTGCTCGGAACCGCCCTTCGGAACCCGTCGTAACGGTACACGATCAGTCGAGAACCCCATTGAGCTCGACCAGAGCACCATGTTTCCGGGGCAAATTTTCTGATGCCGTCCACGTAGATGGCCACTATGAAGATTTTCTTATGAAATGAAATGCGCTCTTCAATTCTAAGTTGGGAGCACACGCTTTGAGCTGAGCAAAGTGTGATTAAATCCATTTGAGTCTGGAGACAAAATGTCTTTTTTTTTATTAGCCCCCTATAGTATATAATATAATATATATATATATTTATATATATATATCATATATATATATTATATATAATATATATTATATGTATATATATATATCACCTGTATCACCTGTATCCGACTCGTCCTCGCAACTTCTCCAATTGCGCAAGTCGACTTTGAACCATTCATTCCGGTCCTGAGCATGTCTTCTCCATTGTTGGCCGAGCATTTTCACCATCGGATCGGCCCATCTCGTTTTGGGCCTTCTTGGCGATCGCTTGTGGATCCAACGGGATCCAATTCATAAGCCTGAAAGTCCATCTGTCATCTTTAAGACGTGCTACGTGACCGGCCCAATCTCGTTTACGATTATACATTTCCTGGACAACATCAACAAGGCCACTTCTTCTTCGCAACTCTGTGTTTGTGATATGTTCACGAAGTGACACTTTGCAAATTCTGCGTTCCATTGACCTTTGCATCACAGCAAATTTCTCTTCGTCTGCTTTAGTGGGCGACCAGCATTCCGCGCCGTACAACAACGCAGGTATCACCGTTGAGTGAAACAAAGATGCCTTCAGTTTCATCGGGAGGTTATCGTCCAGCAATACCCTTGAGATTTTGTTGAAGCTGGACCATGCTGCTTTCCTGCGTTTACTGTATTCCTCTTAGTGCCTTCAGTGAAGCTGAGCTGGTGTCCTAGGTATTTATAGCTTTTCACTTCTTCAATTGTTTCACCGTCTACATTTATCGTCTCTGTATTACTGAATTGATTGCGCATCCACTTGGTTTTTAATAAGTTCATTTCAAGCCCAATTTCATTTGATTTCTTCTGGAGCAGCACAAGTTTCTGTTGGAGCTCAAAAGCATTATGTGCAAAAATAACGCAGTCATCGGCAAACAGCAGATGAGTCAGCCTTTCTCCATCGATCTCTATGCCATCCGTCCAATCAAGATCACTAAACAAGGTTCCTAGAACAAGGCTTCCAGAGTTAGTGCAAACAATTTCGGCGAGATCGTATCACCTTGTCGAACGCCCTTGCAGATTTTTATTTGGCATGGATCGTTGAAGAGCTTTATTTCTGTAGAACAGCCGTTGTTCAGCTCTTCCAAGAGGTCGACATAGGACGAACTAATACCCATATCTGCTCATAGCATTCAATATCGCGTTTGTTTCAACCGAATCGAAAGCTTTCTTGTAATCTACAAATGCCATGCATAGGGGGATCTGGTACTCTTCACATTTTTCGATGAGCTGGCGTACTACGTGTAGATGATCGAGTGTGGAGTAACCACTTCGAAAACCGGCTTGTTCCCGGCTCATGACTATGTCCAGGTCTTTGACTATGCGATTTAGGATTATTCTTGTGAAGGTTTTATAGATTTGAGACAGCAAGGTGATAGGTCTGTAGTTAGTCAAGCTCTCGGGATCGCCTTTTTTCATCAGTAGTATCGTCCTTGATTTTTTCCACGTTTCAGGTATCCTTTTATCATGGCAGTATCTGCTGAAACGTTCTGCCAACGCTTTGAATAGGGGTAGTCCGCCTGCTTTTAGGTGTTTGGAGGGGGAAGGGGGGGGGCGGGGGGGAGGGGGAAAGAAACATAAAAAAAAACCAAATAAAAAAAAGGGGGGGGGGGAAAACGGGTGGGGACGAATGTTGTCGCAGCCAGGGCTTTTCCCAGCCTTTATTTGTTTCACTGCGTTCTCCACTTCTTCCCACATTACTTCTGGGATCGGTTCTTCTGCAACGTTTCGGATAGGTTCTTGCAACAACCACCTTTGAGGAGTACAAATCGTTGTAGAACTTTGTACATATCTCGTTCATTCGTGGGCGGTTGGTTGTTCTAACACCTGTATCGTCCTTGAGAGCATAGGGTATATGTTGCCTTAGACGGATATCCCTTTCTACAGCTTTCAGGCTAGCCCCTTTCTCAGCTGCTTCGCGAAGTTTCATTTGTCTGTAGCCTTCATAGTCGCACTTGATTCTTTCCCTTATCGCTTCACAGAGTGTCCGGTATTCCTCATTTTGCACTCGTCCTTCAGCCTTCATGCGTGCTCTCCTCTTCATCATCTGCAGTGTTTCTGTCGATATACGTCGTCGCCTTGCGGGCTCTATTGCTATGCTCGATGCTTTCACGGCCTGAGTTATTTTTCCCACTAGATCTTCATAGTCGGCATCGATATTGCTTCCGGTATTCATGTGTAGATCTGACGACTCTATCATCGCAGCATACATATCGGCATTGAAAGTTTGTCGTACGAGTGTTTTTTTGCGAATGCAGAACTCGACGTTCTTTCTTGGCATCGAAGAGGATCACCGAACGCAAAAGCCGATGATCGGAGCCAGTCGTTATCACATTTTCCCCTATAACAGAGACATCAGCAAACAATCTTGGCGTATCGGTCAGCACATAATCAATTTGCCTCAGAGTTCTCGTGTCTGAGCTTCTCCATGTCCAGAGACGCTTCGTTTTCTTCTCGAAGAAAGTGTTCATTATTGAGAATCGATGTTGTTCTGCAAATTCGATCAAACGGTTTCCTCTGTCATTTCTTACTCCTGCGCCGTACCTTCCTATGAGGTGTTCCGTTTCGTCCAATCGGGAGCCGACAACTGCGTTGAAATCGCCTTGAACAATAGTGTATGTCGATTTAAGCTTCAATGCCATCTCTATTTCTTCGTAGAAAATATATATATATAGTATATAATATATATATATATATTATACCAGTTGGCGCCGCACGCATTGCGCGCGCAACACAGATCTGTGGCGAATTTTGATGGTGCGACGAAAAATTTCAAATTTGGCTTGATACAATACGAATATCTGAATTCTCCGCTAAATTCTATGCGCTCTTTCTTCGTCAACCATTATCCTATTTTTCTCGGTCCTCGGCCCGGACAATAAATCTCGTGGCGAACTCCGTCTACTTCGGTGCGTGCCCTGCCCGACCAATAGCATTTGGCTCCCTTCTTTTCGCCGACCTCTACCCCCTTTTTCACCGGTCTCTGGGACCTCTTGGAACCAAATTACGACACTTTTGGCAAACTCCGCCCACTTAGGTGCGTGCTCTACCCACTGATAGCAGTTGAGCTCTTTTCCCTCACCAACCTCTAACCCCGTTTTCCCCTATCTCTAGGACCTCTTGCAACCGAATTGCGATACTTTTGGCAAACTCCGCCCACTTGGGTGCGTGCTCTACCCACTAATAGCATTTGACCTCCTTTCCTTCGCCGACCTCTACTCCCTTTTTCCCAGCCTCCTGGACTTCTTGGGGCCGAGTTATGAATTTTCGTCGCAAACTCCGCCCACTTTGGTCATGTCCCTCCCACCATTGACAGCTGGCCTCCACTCCTCCACCCACCTCCATCCACCTTTTCCGCGGCCTCAGGGACTTCTTGGAGCCAAGTCATGAATTTTCGTCGCAAACTCCGCCCACTTTGGCCAAGCCCCGCCTACCACTGGCCCTTGACCTCCACTTTCCCACCCAACTATATCTTCTTTTTTCCCCACTCTCCGGGACCTTCTGGAACAGAGTTCTGAATTTTCGTCGCAAACTCCACCCACTTTGGTCAAGCTCCGCCCACCGATGACAGCTGGCCTCCACTTCCCCCACCCACCTCCATCCACCTTTTCCCCAGCCTCCGGGACTTCTTGGAGCCGAGTTTTATATTTTCGTCGCAAACTCCGCCCACTTTGGTCAGGCCCCGCCCACCAATGACAATTAACCTCCACTCCTCCACCCACCTCTATCCACCTTTTCCCCAGCCTCCGGAGCTTCATGGAGCCGAGTTATAAATTTTCGTCGCAAACTCCGCCCACTTTGGTCAAGCCCCGCCCACCATGACAGCTGGCCTCCACTCCTCCACCCACCTCTATCCACCTTTTCCCAGCCTCCGGACTTCTTGGAGCCGAGTTATGAATTTTCGTCGCAAACTCCGCCCACTTTGGTCAAGCCCCGCCCACCATTGACAGCTGGCCTCCACTCCTCCATACACCTCTATCCACCTTTTTCCGGCTCTTAAGACTTCCCCGACCCGAATTATGAGGGCTTGTAGAAAATGCTGTACACTTCAGAGCGCGCCCCGCCCATTCTGGGCGGGCCTCCGCCCACGTCATGTATGCAGGAAACACCTTAGACATTGCTCCCTTACACCAAATTGTTTTCTGCTCTGTAGGCTTTCTCCCAACCGAGTTATGAAATTTTTCATAAAGCACTGCTTTTTTAGAGAACGCCCCGCCCACCGGGGTGGGTCTCCCTAATTCGATGTGACTTACCAATGCACACCTTTACCCACTTTTTGGCCCAGTTTCGAGGTCGTTTTGTCACTGAAATCGAAATCTTGGTCTTCGGTACATTCATTTCGACGCACGCCACGCCCTCTGTGGGCGGGGCTCCGCTTAGCTGATGTGTGTTTTGTATTACGTGAGACCCTGCCCACCCATCCCACACTTGACCCGGTCCCTCCAGGCGGATCCCGAGGAGCTAGGGAATTTCGTGACAGACATACAGAACGACAGACAGACGACAGACGACAGACGACAGACGAAGCGCTTTATAGTAAGTAGGATTGTTATGTTATCCTAGACAAGTTCTATGTTTGTTTGTTTGCTGTTGATTGTGTAAAAGTTCATTGTTTAGTACAATCCATTTCAACCGCTATAGCCTTAGCCGATCGATACTCCGGAGCCGTCGTCAGTGATCACGTTAACGCCTGTAAGGAGAACCGGCCAATCACAGCGAGGTTCACGCCTACTTCCGGTCCCGCCCCCTGAGGCAGCTATATAAGATCCGCGCTCCGGCTGTATGATTCATTGTTGAGTGTCGAATAAACTGAGTGGTTGAGTCGAGTCTCCTCCCAAGCACAGTGTTACTAGATGTATATATATTATTATAATATACGTATATATATATGTATATATATAGGGCGGAAGTGGTGTAGTGGCAAGTGGCACGCTTACCACGCGAGCGGTCCGGGGATCAAATCCTGGGTCGTGAGTCGCCCGGGCCAACCAAGCCTTCCATCCCTCCGGGGTCGGTTAATTGGTACCAGACTTGTCTGGGAGGATAAAAACACTGACTTGTACATCGGCTGGCCCCGCAAGTCATTGTATAGGCCACATCGCATTCAAACGCCACTACGAATGTACAAATGGAAGTAGAATGCGTGCCGCATCCCAAAAAGGGATTGATCAACGGCAAATGCTTTATCCTTTTTTTTTATCACTTCATATATAACCAGAAGTTTGGTGTGTCGGTTTGTTTGTGTGTATGTACGTCTGTCTGTCCGTCCGCAAAATGAAGTGAGTGATAAGGCAGCTCAATGGATAAACAAGCCGCTAACAAATCTGGGTAGCTCGCAGGGCTTGCCCTATCAATGTTTTGCAATGGCATCGTTGTGATAACAACAGTGGCTATATAAACACCTACTAGCACTCTCTTGGTTATTCACACTGTGCAACACTGGCGGTAGAGCAGTGGAGAGGGGAGAGGAGGAAATGGAGAAGAGGTGGAGGAAATCTCTTTAAAGTGGAAGGCGTCAAGATTATGCAGTGAAGAAAGGTTCCGGTAGCTCTCGGGGGACGTCGTACATGTGGCTTGCCGTGGGCCGGAAATCACGCGACAAATTCGAGCGAGGTTTTAGGCATTTACTGCTTCAGGCGCCTGTGTATTCTTCAGTTAGTTTCCTTTCTTTCCTTTTCCTTTCGTTTTAATTTTCTTCCAATCCTTCTTGATTTTTTCTTTACTTTATTATACTACCTGTGTTCGATATTAAATTTGACTCAAGTACACAGTCAACTACAACACCTTAGCTCTTCACTTATGTACAGTCGAAATCTCGGAGTGTGATTGGGCGTGTCACCGGAAATGACGTGGCAGCCACCGCACTTGATAGAAGTTGCGCGGATAAGCTGCTTCCAACACGCTTTGCTGATATCTGGCGGAGTATTTTATCCACACAACATCTATCAAGTGCGGTGGCTGCCACGTCATTTCCGGTGACACGCCCAATCAGACTTCAAGATATCGACTGTAATAGGCATAGTTCATTTTGAGACTGACAGCAATCTATTCACCGCTGAATTCAAGAAGAATGCTGGATGTTTACAGTTGTGAGATAATATGCCAGTTCAGCTCCAGACGTTATCACGCGTATTCTCGATGGACTTCAGCGAAACTGGGAAAGGTCTAACACATTCAATAGTGAGGTGGTTAATGGAGTACCTCATGCTGATATTCCATGGGTCCTCCAGTTTCGCTAAAGCCTGCCGTGTGATGCGCGCGATAGCGGGCGAAGCAAAACTGGTTTTTCATATACTA